AGGGGGTGGGGGGGGGGGGGGGGCAAGGTAGTAGATTTTGTGGGGCCCCCACACTCTGGGCTGGGACCAAAAATAAGGAGTTTAGTGTGTGGGGCTACCGGGATGCAGGCTAGGGGTCTGGGTGGGAGGGAAGGTGCAGGACTAGCACCAGCTCCCCAAAGCTTGGTTGGAGCCGCGGGCCTCAGGTGCCAGAGAGAGGCTAGCTGGGGGCTGGATCCAGCTCCCAGGCCATAGGTTCGCCACCCGTAACCTAGCTAGTCAGTACCAACATCAGCGAAGCCATGAGCATGGTGGCTTAAGTCTGCCTGGGACTCAGGGTAGTTAGGCAGTTAGCACATCCTGGAATCCTTGCTGCTGCAGCTTCACAACTATTTGTGCTTGCACTGGCTGGATTAAAGGTCAGGTCAGTCTCCATAGGATGCAGTTTCACCTCTGACTGCAGTGTGGACATCCTACACCTGCTGGGAGCTTGCCCAGCAACTCTCAATGCAGGTGAAGTTTACATTTCCTAGCTTCCTTATTAAGCACATACAGCCTCCCACAAGTTGCAAGGAGGACATGAGTCTACATATGGGGATGGAAGCTGCATGTTGAAACCTGGACTCAAGCCCTTCACGCCTCTGTTACAAAAAGATTGTGTGGACGCCATTTAAAACACTGAAACACTGGTTTTTCCTTGGGCTACACAGACTGGACCATCACACTGTCACTAGACCAAATTACAGCTTTTAGACACAGGGCTTCTCCAACATGCAGTCTCCCCATAAATATGCCTCCTGCATTTAATCCCCAATTGCTACTGCTAAGTATTCTACTGTATGCTGCATACACTGGTACAAGAGTTATAGCCGGATACAGGCAGAGATTCTGTTTGATGGCCCTGACAAGGCAATTGGTTGTAGCAGAGACAGTTTTTAGCAAGCAGAGCGTCTCTTGATTTCATCCCCCACCTACACCTTCATGGACACGAGCTTCACGAGACACCACAACCACTTCCTGGACCTTCCACCTGTGTGTATCTTTCCAGATACTTAAAGGCCCTGGAATTGCATTCCAACTGGACAACAGTCAAAGCAAGCTCTACCACTGCCCAGAAGGGAGCCAACACACACAAAAGCCTTTAACACTCTGCAAATAAAAATCCCTAAACAGCCCCAGGCAACTACTGCAGCTATTTCAGTCCTTGTAGCAAAGCCGTTCCCAGAGGCATGCCCAAGTTCAGATGGATTGAAGTTGCATGTAGAGCCTGGAAGGAATCGCTTTCATTTTACTTGCAGGGTGAGACTGCTCTGATGGGACAGTGGAGCTCACTTATATGGGCTTGGGTATTGAAGCTTAAAGGGAAGGTGCAGAGGTTACTGCATGATCAAGATTTAGCTTGTTCTTGCACAAGCCTCCCATATTTTGACCTCCCAGGTCTTGTTTTGCAATAGATAAGACAGAACCAACTTCCAGACACAGGCAGCTGCCATTCAATAAGAAAGATGGCTGAAATATTACTATAGGAGGGAGGGTAAAGGAACAGGCTATGTTTCAGTGGGTCCTTCTTCACAGTTATTTCCTACCCACCGTGCTCTGAGATGGAACCTGACTGTGGGAACATTACAGGGCTGGCGCTGTAGACTACCAGGCAGCAGTTCAGCACTTCGCATCCCATTTGTCGGCCCGGTAAGGCCACGTGAGATGAGGAAGCGACTTGCGCAGATTTCCCTGGAGAAGCTGTATCTGGCTGAGGGAGCTGGATCCTGCCTTCCTTGGCTGGCTGCCGTTGGTGACAAAGCTGTTGGGGTGGGAGGCAACCCTCTGGGCACCCCTGGGAAACAAATTACACAATGCCAACACACAGGCGAGGCTGGCTCATGCTTCTGGGAGAGCCCTGAATGGTTTTTCCTTCCTCAGCTCAGCACTGAAACAGCGGCTCCTGAAAAAGCCTTAAATGTGGCTACTTCCCAACAGCAATAAAGCTATTTCAGTGATCAAACAAGGGAGAGGCCAGGCAAGAAGGGAAAGCCCCAGATAGTTACAAACCTTTTGCAGAACTGGAGGTCCAGTTAGAGCATGCACCCTCCACTGGCACAGCTCTGGAGAGGGGCCTGTCCCCTGAATCCCCAATGCTTGCCTACTCCAACCCTTCAATACCGCGGAATACCTTGGAAGTGTCCTGACTTTGCAGAGCTGAAAAGCAGCAGGCAAACCGGCTGGGCCCAGCCTCAGAAGCTCACATTCCAGCAACGCTTGGCAGCCGAGCTCCCCATTGAGTTACTGGAATCCAGACAGCAGTTACAAAAACCCTCCTTGTAGGTTTCGTCTCAAATTCTCTGCATCATTGGGGCAGCTGCTCTTCCCAGGGAAACAGAACAGACTAAGAGTCCGGAAAGAGGAGCAGGATTCCTTGCAACAGTTTCCTTCCAAGGCTTGAGACAGGCTCCTCTTAAAGTAAGTCTATCTGCTTTGAGACCAGCTACCTTCATGAACCGTTCTGTGGCATGGTATCCACCCAAGCAAATCCGTTCTCACTCCGCTACACAAGCAACCCTCTGTTTATGAGCCGCCAGAGTAGGGGCAGCTATTAGGAAAATAAAAATATGGGAGGGGAGGGAACTAGCTTTCTAAGAAAAAAAAGTGTTATTTTAACACTTCCTGGAGTGAGGCAATCACCCAGAACTCCTGCCAGCCACAGTCACAACGGTTACTCATGACCAGGACCACATCTGGCATGGAAAATTCATGGTGCGTGAATCAAATCTTATAAAAAAAAGGTGACTGGACATAAGTGGCAGCAGTTTCAGTAAGAAGCAATGGGGGAAAGCTGTAATGTGTCAGCATTATCACAGGCAGAGGGATCAGCTTCCCCTGCTTTGTGCTAACAAAAAGCTGCCGAGACTACTGTGCTATTTTAGGTGCCTGCAGTCCAGAGGTTATGCAGTTCTTTGGCTATTTGCATAGCATGCTACACCACACTCACACAGCTTCTCAAGCTTTCAGAGCAGTGTTTCTTAAACTTTTTAAGACCGAGGAACACCAAACAATTTTTTTTTTTGAGGTACACCAAGGATTTTTTGTTGAGCAAAGAGAGAGAGAAAAAAAAAGGTTAGGGAGGAAAAAGGGTCTGAGCGAAGTTATTGAAGAAAAAAGTCGCCTGCCCCTTTAAGGGTGGCCATTTTTAATTCTGTTCTCCGCAGCACACCTCCAACTGCCTCGTGGCACACCAGTGTGCCACGGAACACAGTTTCAGAAACACAGCAGCTCCACAGCAACCAGCACCGCTACATTACACCCAGAAGGGATCCCTCACAGTTTGACAGGCTAAGGCAGAATCGGTCAGCTCTGCTAGAGGGACTGAACACTGTGCAAGTTGACATCCAGTTATAACCAGTAACAATAATCGAGGAGAGCCAGCTTTGGCTGGGAATCACATTACCGTAAGGCAGGATTTGCGCTTTACATCCCAAAGATTGTTAAAGCAAGCTCTGCATTGGCCAAGTAAATTACAGCCGCCGCCCTGGTGCTCAACAAGAGCAAAGCAAAACAGAATACAATCCTCCTGTGCAAATAGCTGCGTCCCCCCAAGGCTGGACTTCAAGACTATTAGAGGGCTGGCTTACCTATTAGGGATCATAGAACTATGCATTAAACCTCCCTACAGATGGCTCAGCGGGAGAGATGCAGGCAGACGCAGAGAAAAAGGGTCACGAGAAACCAAGCACCTAAAGCCACAAACCTTCCACCACCAAGATTTTCAGGTGTCTATAACTGCACCTATCAGCTTGGCATCTACACACTGGAACATCTCCATTAATCATGCAGCCTGTGCTTGCTGGAGGTCTGTATTGCTCTACCCCCGTTTGGCCTCACAGTTTTAAAGCCCCGCTTTGCTCTTATGCTATTCTGGGTTTACTCTTAGCTTTCAGAGCTTTGGAGAGGGGGGAAAAAAAGCATTAAGCAACCTGGTATTTTCAGAGGTAGGCTCTTCTGTTAGTTTAGCTGTTAGAAACTAGCAGGGAATTTCCAATGGCACAGACATGTCAGGATCTAAAATAAATGATGTTGCGAGTGATCATATAGGAGATGTGGCATTTCACCAACAAGGGCTTTCATGTCTCCCAAGAGGAGCGGGGACACTGTTTGGACTATAAAAGCTATGGAAGAACTGCCGTGGCAAAGGCGCAAATGGAAGTGGAGTTGAACAGGTGTCCCACCTAGAAAGCCTTCTCTTTGCGACACCTTGTCTCTCCTATGAAGAAATGCTGCCCCAACAGTAGGGAGGAGGGTTAGCTCAGTGGTTGGCACATTGGCCTGCTAAACCCAGGGTTATGAGTTCAATCCTTGAGGGGGCCATTTAGGGAGCTGGGGAAAAATCTGTCAGGGATGGTACTTGGTCCTACTGTGAGGGCAGGGGACTGGACTCAACCTCTCAAGGTCCCTTCCAGCTCTATGAGATGGTATATCTCAAGTCCACTCCTTTGCACTCAGAGCAGGACCAAACACCATGTAGATCATCCCCGAGGCTATGTCTACACTACAGAGTTTTTGCGGAA